CATGAATTTGAGATTCAACTGTAGATTGAATCATCATCGAAAATAGATTCATCTGTGTGTGAAATTGTGCACGGTATTGTTTCTTCCTCGGAACTTATCGTATTTCGAAATGTATTGCGAAATAATACACTCATCTGCCTGACAATTTTGACTGGACTCTATTTGAAATTTGTATTTGGAATACATAGACGCTAAATGTGTCACCCACATTTTTCCCATCTCAACTTTTCATTCGTCAACATATTTAATGAATTATACTCAGACTGATTATGAAACTGAATATCATAATGATGAGTCAAAAGGCACAAAGTCAGGCGAATAATGGATGCTTCAACTTACCAGTTCCGAACGGTATTGAGATTATTCGGAGAGGAGATTGTAATACCGAATTCATCACTATCATTTTGGTCGTTATCCTCGAGCTGTCGACACCTAATAGCTGTTTGCATGAGGGAGAATGTGTATTGTGAAATTGTCACCTGATTTCTCTGTTTGCTGTTGTTATGATTGAATTCCAGAAACACCATCACTAGAATCGTGTCTACTTCTGTGTGATTTTACGAGTGAGTGGTGTTAGGTTGCAAAGTTACTGGAAAAAACTGACACAAAATGATGGAGAGTTTGAAGGCAGATTATGACGTTAGAGAATGAATGAGTGAACGACAGGCTACAGTGAACTTATACTCCATTCTTATTGTGGATGTCTCAGCATACCACAGTTGCCAACCCACCATGGTGTAGCAAGCATTAACTTCACGTTTACACACAAGTAAATTTACCATGGGATCTATCTTCTGTTAGCTCGTCGTAGAGTGCTACTGGTATCTGATAATGAGAGTAGAGTAAATATCTTCACACTTATTTTCAACAAATATATTGTTCTCAGCATTTCTCTATTACCCTTAGCAATCTATTTTACGATTTTTCTATCCGTCACTTCCTCATTGATCATACGAGCATCAAATATTTATTGTTGGTATTATTTTCAGAATATCAGTTGAGAAATCTTTGATTAGTTTAAATTGATTGCTGTAATGGTGGTGAAATCTGAATTATATTTGATAGATAGGTTGACTTTGTTTCCACACAAGGTCGTGCAATATGATGCAGTGACCATTAACGTCATCCTGCCAACTGTATCTTCCACACTGATTAAATCTCCTATTCATTTTGAACACGCTGAATACAATTACATCAAATAGGTGAGAAATGATGAGTGGAATTCATGATAACTAGGTATTTCATGCCTGAAACGAATGATCGAGAGACTAAGTATATCTGTGCTTATTATTCGAATTCGCTGGGAACGCAGTTGAATGCACACTGGCTGAAATTTGAGTAAATGGATTAATGCGACTCAAGTTTAAAAAGGCTCACATTCAGTTTGTTTCAGAATCACAGGGAATATCTGTCGAATTTCAAGGGATTGCACAGATGAGAATTAGACCGAAAATAACACGCTAGAAGAGGGATAGTACGAGGACAAATAACACAAAATTTCTCGCAAAATCGGGGGTATACAGATTGAAAGTTAGAAGTTGGCACAAGAGGTAGAGAAGATTGCACTTCAGGGGAACGCAGGTAAGACAGAGGTGATAAGGATACCTAACTAACAATATCAAGCAACAACTAGCATCAGAAGATACCATATTGTAGGACCATGTATGTGATATGGACGACAAATCGGTATCAGGTAATACAGGAATAGGACTCATGCGCATTCCACAGGCCTTGAGTAAACTGAATAAGAAGTGTCTGTAGAGTTTTGTACATTCAGTGTCTCGGTGGTCAGAGTCAGCGTGTAAAAGCACATACATATGCACAAAGAAACATGTCCGGAACCACTAAGTCATTAGTTTGTGAGAACCGGTCTCCATATTGGCGGAAGACAAGAAGGCTGTCATTACTTAATCGTGTAATGGTTGGAAGAATGGAGATATACGATTAGAAGTATTGTTGTACTTTGTATTAACGTATATTTACGCATTTTGGAACGGATTAACTCCTGTGACCTCGTTTCGTAATCTCTGGACGAATAAACAGTCATTTTGCCCAAACGCTTCTCCTTGTCCTGCATCGGCAAAATTGTGCAGTGCACTGCGAATTGGCTCAGTTTCAGCCCACCGAGGGATCAAAAAACTATTCGATGTTTAAGAGTGGTTCGTTTGAAAATTGAATCCAGACATCACACATGAATGACGCACGTTTCACTATTGAACCGCCGACTCATCACTCTGGTGTTATGTGCTTATAACTACGCAAGTCGGGATTCGAAGTGTTTACACGTCGTCAGGGTAAACGTGATGTCGAAAATTTCGCGTAATTAAGTGAGACCTTGGTAAATTACCAACTCTCATTGACAATTTCGAAAAATGACCAGTTGTTTTTCGCCTTTAATCGATTCACTGAATTGGCAACGCTGAAATAAAATTTATGAATCATTCCTTTTGCCGTATGAATAATTACGGCTTCACAGCTGATTGACTACACCTAATTTAGTCAAAGTGATTTCTCGGTGTTTAGTTCACCTTGATATCAATTGACAACACTCCTGAGAAAATGCAGTTTTCAACCATTCGCATTCAGCAGCATTATATAGAATCTAGCATGAACAGCATTTTCGTGAAGAAAGGAAATCGGTAGAAATTGGAATCCACAAATCGCTTTAGGCACGAGATTTCATGGCAACTATTTCGCGGAAACGTCTATCGTTATTCCGTCTGATCATTCACAAAATTAAATTGAGTCCCTAATTGACGAGGATACCACTCTCCTATACAGCAAATGTATATGAAGTCATCATTGAAAAGTCATTGATGGGTATGTATAATTATGACCACAGTATTATTTCTCCTTTGAAATCATCTGATATTTCAAAATGCATTCAAATGTCTTGCAGTCATCAGGCAGGCGATTCCACATCGTATTTATTTCCAATTGGAACGTATTTCACTGAAGTACATATGTGTTATCTGATTGATACAAATTTCTCTAGATAATGGAGAATATCCATCAGAACATTAGAGAGAAAAGAATAAGCAGTTCAGCAATGATATCATTCCAGTGACTTCATTCTCAAAAGCTTCACACTCAAACTCACATGCATAAGTTTACATAGATACAATTAATTATTCATCCCACATAATAATGAAGGAGACTAACGGTGACAAACGTTTTCAACCTGATGTGAAAGTGTTATATGCACACCTTCGAAATGTCATATGAAAGTGAAAACTATTGTCACCTTTAATTACTTTCGTTTTAATTCGTATTTCTCAGAGAGCAACCTCTAGTTCACCGAATTATTTATTCTGTATTCTAACTTATACAAACTTAATGAAGTTGAATGTCATAATGATGTGTCAGTATTGATCTTGACGGTCGCTGAGTGCCTGTTTGAACTGATCACTAATTACCGTTTGTCTGACTTCCTTGACAACACTTAGACAGGAGAATGAGATACCTAACTCATCATAATCCTATGACTGATTATACAAGGACATTTCACAATGAACATTCATCTGTTTCGTGCGAATATGCGTCACGAAATTCAACCTAATTACAATATTAGTCATTCACATTAACTAATTCGAATGTTAGTTATGACCGAGGTGAATGGATATAAAAGGCATGTTGGTGTGTTAGTGAACAAGAGTGACAATCAGAACACGTGGACAGTCTCAGTTCAAATAATGCTTCGATCAACCGAGATATATGCAGCTCATGGAAGAGGATGAAATTAGGTGGTCAATGTTTGCAAAAGTGTCTAAGGTTGTTCAGTACTGAGTATCTCTGCCACATTCATCCGATCCAATATCTTACAGAAACTAGTCTGAGTTGACAGAACTATTAAACGACAATTGGATTGTGGTTGTTCGATGTGACGACAGATAAGTGAGATGAATCTGTGGCTTAACCATACTCCATGAAACGAAAGTAAGCTTCCAATCACCACACGAGAGAAAGTAGAGAGGAAGGAGTGATGAGAGATTGAAGACGCGATGTACAAATAACGGACAACCACAGACACGAAAGCACCATCTACTAACAAGATGTATTCTATCTAGGATACATTACACTTACTACAGCATTTCTTACTGAGTAACGCAATAGCCTCATCAATTTACATCGAAATCTTGTATACTTCAATGTTTCTCTTGGATGCTTAAATAACTATGGAATATGAAAATCTATGTGACAATTCCTGATCTGGAAATCATAGTTACTTGGCGCTAGTGCTTATGTAACATCCAAGTGAGTGATGTCAGTCATTTCAAACCACTCGTCTCAATCAGTCAGCACTGTGTAGCCTCATGCATTGATGCTTGCATTCCTGACTGTCATTCGTGGTACCAAGCAGATCAGATATTGTGATCTGAGTGATTCTAGATATCCAAGTGAACGGTGATGAAATTTCACCTGGAAATGTGAAGATTGCGATACGCAAATTCATCTGCAACCTGAGAACTTAATTTTCCGTATAAGCAGTCCGCACAAGTGTACATCTAGAAATCCGGATATTTCAGTTGATTCGACATTTCGAGCTGAGTTGAAGGCCGCAAGTAGAGGTCACAAGTGGGCGAAATGTATCTCCGATATATGAATCCCTTCGATCAGGCTGACAATCACTACTGGCCCACGTAGGCGCTACGCAACTTCTCACATCAACAGATCAGTAATATATAGGCTCATGAAGACATCCTATTCCTACTAACGGAATATCTGAAATTCTCATTCATTCATTTAACAGATGTATGACACACTGGAACAGTATCACTCACAACACAAGTTTTCGAACACAATCCATTGTATGTAATCTAGCGAGAATCAACTGTGGAAGACACTTTGTCACTCAGTAATTAACACAGTTTCAATGTGTGATGAATCCGTTGAACAAAAATAACACGGAATTACATACTACCAAAGTGTCCATGTTTTACACACGTACGTTCACAAGTCTGTATGAAGTGTAGAGTCCAAGGAACGATAAAAGTCGAGAGTGATTATCAGCAAACTTGGTATATTTCTAATAAGAAAAATAATTTCAGTTGAACTGAACACACCTAAAATGAATATGAGACAAATATCAATTGTACACAAGGCAAGAAATGTTCCAATTTGTCAAAGTGTTTTTGCAAGCTGAATTCACACGACACTGATTGATTTTCACTTCCACATTTGTATTCATGAACAATGCAATCAATATTTCGAGTATTGATGCCCACCACCATAATGATGTTTGTAGTTGTTCCCATATTTAGGATAGTTACCATAGTCTTTCTTGTGACCTCGATTATAACCACCGTGACCGTACTTCTTACCATAACCACCTTTACGACCGCCGTAATAATTTTTGCCGTGTTTATAATCCTTGGAATATTTACCATAACCATAACCATGATGGCCATGTTTGGGAGAACCTTTGTATCCGCCCTTCTTAGAACCATAAACGTCATTATGACCATGGCGGGAACCAGACTTGTATTGATAACCATGTTTTTGATTCTTGTAATCACCGGATTTATAACCATAGTGGTGACTGGAATAGCCGCCTTTGTCGCCGCCATACCCACCACGAAGCAATTTCGATCCAGAAGTTACAGCTGTGACATTATCACCACTGTCAGAAGAAGATTCAGTGACATTGGCAGGATAATCGCTAGCACGAGTTCCCTCTTCTGTTCCATTTAACTCCTTTCCCGATGTAAGGCGTACGGTTGAATTGTTGTCTGAATATTTGACAGCCAAGCGTGTAATAAAGATAAAAGGTGGAAGTTATTACACACACACAAATTACTATGCTAAATTACATTAGATTACACTGAATTGATGACCATATACTGACGGATATGGCTAGAATAAAACAAACAACATATAGTTATCCATTTTGACGTGTGGCTGACAGCCACATGACAGAATAGTACTGATGACATATTCCATCCGAACTGGTCTGATATAAGACAAATGGATCCTAGAAATTTCTACAGCAATGAGAGAAGACAAATAGGATATTCTGATGAATAACTGGTAACAGCCGGAAGGACATTCACGACGTCGAATAGAAAGGATAATCTGAAACTGAATAAATGAATGGTTGTGGTGAATCAGGAGATGGACAAATGGACAAGCCGCGAAAACGGTGTGTCAGGGCCACCCATATCAGAAGAAAAATGAGAGGACGAAAAGTGTTGTGCATAACTTCGTGAATCAATCCCAAATAACCTTTCGGCTGATGGATATACACATATACATATACGCAAATGTATGAATGGTTGATGTCCATGAGGAAAACCTACCTTCATCGTGTACACTGACAGTTACTGGTTCGGCCAGAAGGAATTTGCCGTAGAACAAGGTGAGAAGGAGAGTGATAGCCAGCCTCATTGTGATGCTAAAGGCAAGATAAATGGAGAGAGGATTTCAATAGATGTTAGATATATAATCACATAGTACGAATTGAAGTGGTTCAGTATTGGGACGGAGTGTGGAGAATTCATGCACTTACTCAGTCGAATAGTCGTATTCGGATTTTCGAAACCGATATCAAACTCTGCTGATACACGAGGAAATTCTCATGCAATTCTAAAACATGCATCGCTTTATATACTCACAAAAGTGTAGGCGAGTGAATAAATCAATGAAGTAGAGTGTCACGTACTGATTCCACCAACCACATATAAGTCACAATTGTATTCATCATTCAGGTCAAGTGTGATTCATGCAGTGAGTGACATTTGAACTTGACATGCTGATAGAAAAGAAACAAAGACTGAATCATCACTTCACGTACAGAGATGTCTATACACATGTAAAGAAATAAACAGCGGAAATCACAATTGTGGTGTAATCTCGTGACAGAGTATCACTGCAAATCAGCGTGATGATGTGATGGCCTCACGTTCAACGCATGGATTTACTCTCATTTCACTGCAACACAGAACTTACTTACAAAACTCCAATCAGATTATCAAATGCACCACATCAGCATGGACAGATCAACACAACTGAGGATTTAGGAGAAAATTCGGTGAAGAGAGTTTCCCTTATTGACGGTGTCATATTCCGATGGCTGCATAATCGCATTATTATCTACTGGAAGACGTCTGGTAGTCTATAATTGGATGTAACAGGTGGCGGAGGGATGTAGTTGATACAGTTACTCTGATAGAATTACTGAAGATACGTGAGATTAGAAAAAAGGCCTAACTCAGACAATTAGATGACGATAGAATTGGACCAAGCAGCAGACAAGGAGACAGTTGGAGTAGGGCTTCGAAATTCGATAATATGCGAAATGTCATTCAATGAAATGGAAGCCAGCGGTTGAATGTCCACCTAATAAGTGTGAGGAAGGTAAGAGTAGATAAAATTTAGTGCAATAGTCATGTGAGCGGGATAGTAGTGAAGTAACTACTTGAAGTAGAAGCGAACGAGTGAGGATGAGTTTAGGACTGTGGTAGGATATGCGACTCAACAAACCCTTTCACACAAACTGCCGAATCGCTAGTATGGTCGTCAGCCACGTGTGACGAATCACCCCTCCTATTGTATAATTCGGCTATACATTGAAAGTAATCTTAAGAGTCGACACCAGTAGAGTAACGTGATCTGAATTCAACAGGTGCTTGACAACTGATGTAGTAGTTGTCTAAGATCGGAAACTTGATAATCATGCTGAGTGATGTTTGGAGATTAGCTTGTGGATGCAATATAATAATAATAATAAGCGTAAAACCTATGACTTGCTTTGTTGTTAATAACATAATTTCGGCCCTTGTTATTTCCCCCTTACACTCTAGTATTTGTACTCTATAGTGAACAACCTTCTCAAACATACTTAGCTGCTTAAAATTATTATCATTGGCTTACTTTTTTTATTCTTTATTCTATTCCTACTTTGTACATCTACTGGGTCCGACTATATTATCACTATGATTATTAAAAATTGTCCCGTCATTAACCATCATGTAACATTAGTTTTGTGGTTGTTCTTTGTTCTGCACTATTAAACTGACAATCTTGTTTGTTATTGCCACTATCACCATCTTAAAAAAAAGAATTTTGTATTATGCATGATTCCTCACACTACCACTACAAACAACCGCATTAGTGCTGACAATAAAAAAAAACACAACCTGAAATGTTTATCTTATGATTGCTTAGTGTTGTTCAATCAAATTAACTGATCATCTTGGCTATAAACATTTTTTAAGAACATCTCATAATTTCCCGTATGATTATAGCTGTTACTGTTCACCACGCATACTCATATCGTAGCTTCCACTAACCAATACTGAAATATTTTTTCATTATTTGTGTTGATCTTCCTTTTTACTTGGCATTTTTATTTGCATTTTTTGTTATTTCTGTGTTTCTTTTTAGGTTTTTTGTTGTTTTTTTTATATATTTTATGCTTTTTTATCATTATCTTTTATCAATAATAGGACCAAGGAACATTCCACGAGTTAAATGGAATAGTGCTTCAAAATTTGATATAATGCGAAATGTCAATCAATGAGACAACATGCATGATGCTATGTGCATAAATGTCATACACTATATATTCATTGAGATAACCATCAGTCGATGGACAAATTATGAGGTTCATAGTACAATATTAGCTCGAATTATTCATGGACGAGAGGGACACAATATATAAAATTTCTTATGAATTAGATAATTGTCAGCTCACAGGAAATTGACGGTTAAATTATTCCAACAACTTAGAACTGACACAGTCAGTGCGGCAATACCAAGTTGACTAAAGCTCTGATTTTCGGTTCTTAGCGAACAACAGTAGTCTAGAAGATGAATAAAATTTCGTCCAATTTTCATCTTGAAAATCGAGAAAATATTCCATTCAAAGACAGTTTAGAATCATAACTCTACCGGTATGAAAATCAGAAAGTAAGTAACGGAAACTTCTTCATTGAGCCAATCCAGGTATTGAAAACATTTATTTCCCGATACGAATTTAAAACAAGCAATAAAGGTTAATAAAGCAGGATTTAATGAATTCATCAAATTTCGGTAGAACTCGTCAGCTGAATACTCTACATACACGAATATATATACTTTTGAAATTACATTGGGAGATATAAGACTGATAAGTTGAATACTCTACATACACGAATATATATACTTTTGAAATTACATAGGGAGATATAAGACTGATAAGTAAACAAACTACATTGAATTAATCATGCAGAGAGACAGGTGCGAATATTTTTCAGGTCATGTTCAAATAGATAAGGGGAGAGAGAGAGTATGAGAGATCAAAATTAAGATAAATTGCATTACGCTTCAATTACATCACTTAGATAAACAATTAGTCATTAGAGAATATAACAAGAATTGCAAACAGGCTAATATCAATAGTAATAGTTTTAATAACAATAATAATAATAGTGTTGAAGTGAGTTAAGATAATCTTACGGATAAAGCATAGATTTAAATGAATCAAGAATAATAATAATAATAATAATGGTAGTAATAATAACAAAAATAATAATAAGAAGAGGTAGAATAATAGTAATTTTTTTTTTTTTTTTTTTTTTTTAGCGTATTACCATGGTAGATTCAGAGTGACGACCATCTCCTTTTGTATACAGAGGGCTGGTTTGTAAATTCGAATTGCACAAGCCTCTGCAATTGCAAGCATCTTCTTGTTTCTTTGTTTGCTGACGATGGTGAATGACTTGACGGCGTCGATATCATGTCCGTAATCCACGAGATGTTTTGTTATTGAGGATTTTGGGACTTTGCACTCAGCTGTTTTCAACCATTTTGGCAAATGCTCCATCATGCGAGTAGACAATCGCCTTTCCGTACGACCTATGTATTTGCTGCCACAAACACACTCAAATTGATATATGCAGTTTGAAGTGTCGAGGATTGGCGACTGGTCTTTCCCAGATTGTTGAAGCACTCGCTTGGTGGTGTTAAGGATAACGAGTTTTGCAGCGTAATAAGTTCTCTTGATGGCTTTGTCAAGTCTTCGTTTCACTATTTCCTGTACGTCATCTCCTTTGAATGGCAAATTGATATAGACAGGTTTCTTTGGAACTGTCTGAATTGTTTTGCAAGGGGTAGTTTCTTTAGAGTATTTATTAATGAACTTCTCAGGATATCCATTCTTACATAAAATATCCTTCAAAGATTTTATTTCATGTTCAACAGTACTGTCAGAACACAATTCAATGGGCGTCTGTTCCGTCAAGTTGATGGTGTCGCAATGGGAAGCCCTTTGGGACCACTTTTCGCAGATTTATTCTTGTCAAGCCTAGAAACCGGTACTTTGCAGCAATATATACAAGAAACAAATGCATACCTAAGATATGTTGATGACATTTTTATTGTCTGTGAAAGCAGATCAAAAGCGGAAGACATGTTAACAAAATTCAACTCATGCCATCCAAATCTCAATTTCACAGTAGAACACGAGGAAAACGATACTATTAAATTTCTAGACGTTCTTCTGACCAAAATGAATGATGGCACAATCGAAAGATCTATATTTAGAAAGTCCTCATGGACAGGACAGTACATGCATTTCAAGAGCTTTGTTCCAATCGAATACAAAAAGAACTTAGTCAGAACACTGTTCAATAGAGCACGGAAAATTTGTTCTGACAGTACTGTTGAACATGAAATAAAATCTTTGAAGGATATTTTATGTAAGAATGGATATCCTGAGAAGTTCATTAATAAATACTCTAAAGAAACTACCCCTTGCAAAACAATTCAGACAGTTCCAAAGAAACCTGTCTATATCAATTTGCCATTCAAAGGAGATGACGTACAGGAAATAGTGAAACGAAGACTTGACAAAGCCATCAAGAGAACTTATTACGCTGCAAAACTCGTTATCCTTAACACCACCAAGCGAGTGCTTCAACAATCTGGGAAAGACCAGTCGCCAATCCTCGACACTTCAAACTGCATATATCAATTTGAGTGTGTTTGTGGCAGCAAATACATAGGTCGTACGGAAAGGCGATTGTCTACTCGCATGATGGAGCATTTGCCAAAATGGTTGAAAACAGCTGAGTGCAAAGTCCCAAAATCCTCAATAACAAAACATCTCGTGGATTACGGACATGATATCGACGCCGTCAAGTCATTCACCATCGTCAGCAAACAAAGAAACAAGAAGATGCTTGCAATTGCAGAGGCTTGTGCAATTCGAATTTACAAACCAGCCCTCTGTATACAAAAGGAGATGGTCGTCACTCTGAATCTACCATGGTAATACGCTTTACTTTTTTTTTTTTTTTATTATTCTACCTCTTCTTATTATTATTTTTGTTATTATTACTACCATTATTATTATTATTATTATTATTATTATTCTTGATTCATTTAAATCTATGCTTTATCCGTAAGATTATCTTAACTCACTTCAACACTATTATTATTATTGTTATTAAAACTATTACTATTGATATTAGCCTGTTTGCAATTCTTGTTATATTCTCTAATGACTAATTGTTTATCTAAGTGATGTAATTGAAGCGTAATGCAATTTATCTTAATTTTGATCTCTCATACTCTCTCTCTCCCCTTATCTATTTGAACATGACCTGAAAAATATTCGCACCTGTCTCTCTGCATGATTAATTCAATGTAGTTTGTTTACTTATCAGTCTTATATCTCCCTATGTAATTTCAAAAGTATATATATTCGTGTATGTAGAGTATTCAACTTATCAGTCTTATATCTCCCAATGTAATTTCAAAAGTATATATATTCGTGTATGTAGAGTATTCAGCTGACGAGTTCTACCGAAATTTGATGAATTCATTAAATCCTGCTTTATTAACCTTTATTGCTTGTTTTAAATCCAGGTATTGTTGATAAATTCACCTGTCCCAGTATAATTACTTATATTGCATCCACAAGCTAATCTCCAAACATCACTCAGCATGATTATCAAGTTTCCGATCTTAGACAACTACTACATCAGTTGTCAAGCACCTGTTGAATTCAGATCACGTTACTCTACTGGTGTCGACTCTTAAGATTACTTGCAATGTATAGCCGAATTATACAATAGGTGGGGTGATTCGTCACACGTGGCTGACGACCATACTAGCGATTCGGCAGTTTGTGTGAAAGGGTTTGTTGAGTCGCATATCCTACCACAGTCCTAAACTCATCCTCACTCGTTCGCTTCTACTTCAAGTAGTTACTTCACTACTATCCCGCTCACATGACTATTGCACTAAATTTTATCTACTCTTACCTTCCTCACACTTATTAGGTGGACATTCAACCGCTGGCTTCCATTTCATTGAATGACATTTCGCATATTATCGAATTTCGAAGCCCTACTCCAACTGTCTCCTTGTCTGCTGCTTGGTCCAATTCTATCGTCATCTAATTGTCTGAGTTAGGCCTTTTTTCTAATCTCACGTATCTTCAGTAATTCTATCAGAGTAACTGTATCAACTACATCCCTCCGCCACCTGTTACATCCAATTATAGACTACCAGACGTCTTCCAGTAGATAATAATGCGATTATGCAGCCATCGGAATATGACACCGTCAATAAGGGAAACTCTCTTCACCGAATTTTCTCCTAAATCCTCAGTTGTGTTGATCTGTCCATGCTGATGTGGTGCATTTGATAATCTGATTGGAGTTTTGTAAGTAAGTTCTGTGTTGCAGTGAAATGAGAGTAAATCCATGCGTTGAACGTGAGGCCATCACATCATCACGCTGATTTGCAGTGATACTCTGTCACGAGATTACACCACAATTGTGATTTCCGCTGTTTATTTCTTTACATGTGTATAGACATCTCTGTACGTGAAGTGATGATTCAGTCTTTGTTTCTTTTCTATCAGCATGTCAAGTTCAAATGTCACTCACTGCATGAATCACACTTGACCTGAATGATGAATACAATTGTGACTTATATGTGGTTGGTGGAATCAGTACGTGACACTCTACTTCATTGATTTATTCACTCGCCTACACTTTTGTGAGTATATAAAGCGATGCATGTTTTAGAATTGCATGAGAATTTCCTCGTGTATCAGCAGAGTTTGATATCGGTTTCAAAAATCCGAATACGACTATTCGACTGAGTAAGTGCATGAATTCTCCACACTCCGTCCCAATACTGAACCACTTCAATTCGTACTATGTGATTATATATCTAACATCTATTGAAATCCTCTCTCCATTTATCTTGCCTTTAGCATCACAATGAGGCTGGCTATCACTCTCCTTCTCACCTTGTTCTACGGCAAATTCCTTCTGGCCGAACCAGTAACTGTCAGTGTACACGATGAAGGTAGGTTTTCCTCATGGACATCAACCATTCATACATTTGCGTATATGTATATGTGTATATCCATCAGCCGAAAGGTTATTTGGGATTGATTCACGAAGTTATGCACAACACTTTTCGTCCTCTCATTTTCCTTCTGATATGGGTGGCCCTGACACACCGTTTTCGCGGCTTGTCCATTTGTCCATCTCCTGATTCACCACAACCATTCATTTATTCAGTTTCAGATTATCCTTTCTATTCGACGTCGTGAATGTCCTTCCGGCTGTTACCAGTTATTCATCAGAATATCCTATTTGTCTTCTCTCATTGCTGTAGAAATTTCTAGGATCCATTTGTCTTATATCAGACCAGTTCGGATGGAATATGTCATCAGTACTATTCTGTCATGTGGCTGTCAGCCACACGTCAAAATGGATAACTATATGTTGTTTGTTTTATTCTAGCCATATCCGTCAGTATATGGTCATCAATTCAGTGTAATCTAATGTAATTTAGCATAGTAATTTGTGTGTGTGTAATAACTTCCACCTTTTATCTTTATTACACGCTTGGCTGTCAAATATTCAGACAACAATTCAACCGTACGCCTTACATCGGGAAAGGAGTTAAATGGAACAGAAGAGGGAACTCGTGCTAGCGATTATCCTGCCAATGTCACTGAATCTTCTTCTGACAGTGGTGATAATGTCACAGCTGTAACTTCTGGATCGAAATTGCTTCGTGGTGGGTATGGCGGCGACAAAGGCGGCTATTCCAGTCACCACTATGGTTATAAATCCGGTGATTACAAGAATCAAAAACATGGTTATCAATACAAGTCTGGTTCCCGCCATGGTCATAATGACGTTTATGGTTCTAAGAAGGGCGGATACAAAGGTTCTCCCAAACATGGCCATCATGGTTATGGTTATGGTAAATATTCCAAGGATTATAAACACGGCAAAAATTATTACGGCGGTCGTAAAGGTGGTTATGGTAAGAAGTACGGTCACGGTGGTTATAATCGAGGTCACAAGAAAGACTATGGTAACTATCCTAAATATGGGAACAACTACAAACATCATTATGGTGGTGGGCATCAATACTCGAAATATTGATTGCATTGTTCATGAATACAAATGTGGAAGTGAAAATCAATCAGTGTCGTGTGAATTCAGCTTGCAAAAACACTTTGACAAATTGGAACATTTCTTGCCTTGTGTACAATTGATATTTGTCTCATATTCATTTTAGGTGTGTTCAGTTCAACTGAAATTATTTTTCTTATTAGAAATATACCAAGTTTGCTGATAATCACTCTCGACTTTTATCGTTCCTTGGACTCTACACTTCATACAGACTTGTGAACGTACGTGTGTAAAACATGGACACTTTGGTAGTATGTAATTCCGTGTTATTTTTGTTCAACGGATTCATCACACATTGAAACTGTGTTAATTACTGAGTGACAAAGTGTCTTCCACAGTTGATTCTCGCTAGATTACATACAATGGATTGTGTTCGAAAACTTGTGTTGTGATTGATATTGTTCCAGTGTGTCATACATCTGTTAAATGAATGAATGAGAATTTCAGATATTCCGTTAGTAGGAATAGGATGTCTTCATGAGCCTATATATTACTGATCGGTTGATGTGAGAAGTTGCGTAGCGCCTACGTGGGCCAGTAGTGATTGTCAGCCTGATCGAAGGGATTCATATATCGGAGATACATTTCGCCCACTTGTGACCTCTACTTGCGGCCTTCAACTCAGCTCGAAATGTCGAATCAACTGAAATATCCGGATTTCTAGATGTACACTTGTGCGGACTGCTTATACGGAAAATTAAGTTCTCAGGTTGCAGATGAATTTGCGTATCGCAATCTTCACATTTCCAGGTGAAATTTCATCACCGTTCACTTGGATATCTAGAATCACTCAGATCACAATATCTGATCTGCTTGGTACCACGAATGACAGTCAGGAATGCAAGCATCAATGCATGAGGCTACACAGTGCTGACTGATTGAGACGAGTGGTTTGAAATGACTGACATCACTCACTTGGATGTTACATAAGCACTAGCGCCAAGTAACTATGATTTCCAGATCAGGAATTGTCACATAGATTTTCATATTCCATAGTTATTTAAGCATCCAAGAGAAACATTGAAGTATACAAGATTTCGATGTAAATTGATGAGGCTATTGCGTTACTCAGTAAGAAATGCAGTAGTAAGTGTAATGTATCCTAGATAGAATACATCTTGTTAGTAGATGGTGCTTTCGTGTCTGTGGTTGTCCGTTATTTGTACATCGCATCTTCAATCTCTCATCACTCCTTCCTCTCTACTTTCTCTCGTGTGGTGATTGGAAGCTTACTTTCGTTTCATGGAGTATGGTTAAGCCACAGATTCATCTCACTTATCTGTCGTCACATCGAACAACCACAATCCAATTGTCGTTTAATAGTTCTGTCAACTCAGACTAGTTTCTGTAAGATATTGGATCGGATGAATGTGGCAGAGATACTCAGTACTGAACAACCTTAGACACTTTTGCAAACATTGACCACCTAATTTCATCCTCTTCCATGAGCTGCATATATCTCGGTTGATCGAAGCATTATTTGAACTGAGACTGTCCACGTGTTCTGATTGTCACTCTTGTTCACTAACACACCAACATGCCTTTTATATCCATTCACCTCGGTCATAACTAACATTCGAATTAGTTAATGTGAATGACTAATATTGTAATTAGGTTGAATTTCGTGACGCATATTCGCACGAAACAGATGAATGTTCATTGTGAAATGTCCTTTTATAATCAGTCATAGGATTATGATGAGTTAGGTATCTCATTCTCCTGTCTAAGTGTTGTCAAGGAATTCAGACAAACGGTAATTAGTGATCAGTTCAAACAGGCACTCAGCGACCGTCAAGATCAATACTGACACATCATTATGACATTCAACTTCATTAAGTTTGTATAAGTTAGAATACAGAATAAATAATTCGGTGAACTAGAGGTTGCTCTCTGAGAAATACGAATTAAAACGAAAGTAATTAAAGGTGACAATAGTTTTCACTTTCATATGACATTTCGAAGGTGTGCATATAACACTTTCACATCAGGTTGAAAACTTTTGTCACCGTTAGTCTCCTTCATTATTATGTGGGATGAATAATTAATTGTATCTATGTAAACTTATGCATGTGAGTTTGAGTGTGAAGCTTTTGAGAATGAAGTCACTGGAATGATATCATTGCTGAACTGCTTATTCTTTTCTCTCTAATGTTCTGATGGATATTCTCCATTATCTAGAGAAATTTGTATCAATCAGATAACACATATGTACTTCAGTGAAATACGTTCCAATTGGAAATAAATACCATGTGGAATCGCCTGCCTGATGACTGCAAGACATTTGAATGCATTTTGAAATATCAGATGATTTCAAAGGAGAAATAATACTGTGGTCATAATTATACATACCCATCAATGACTTTTCAATGATGACTTCATATACATTTGCTGTATAGGAGAGTGGTATCCTCGTCAATTAGGGACTCAATTTAATTTTGTGAATGATCAGACGGAATAACGATAGACGTTTCCGCGAAATAGTTGCCATGAAATCTCGTGCCTAAAGCGATTTGTGGATTCCAATTTCTACCGATTTCCTTTCTTCACGAAAATGCTGTTCATGCTAGATTCTATATAATGCTGCTGAATGCGAATGGTTGAAAACTGCATTTTCTCAGGAGTGTTGTCAATTGATATCAAGGTGAACTAAACACCGAGAAATCACTTTGACTAAATTAGGTGTAGTCAATCAGCTGTGAAGCCGTAATTATTCATACGGCAAAAGGAATGATTCATAAATTTTATTTCAGCGTTGCCAATTCAGTGAATCGATTAAAGGCGAAAAACAACTGGTCATTTTTCGAAATTGTCAATGAGAGTTGGTAATTTACCAAGGTCTCACTTAATTACGCGAAATTTTCGACATCACGTTTACCCTGACGACGTGTAAACACTTCGAATCCCGACTTGCGTAGTTATAAGCACATAACACCAGAGTGATGAGTCGGCGGTTCAATAGTGAAACGTGCGTCATTCACGTGTGATGTCTGGATTCAATTTTCAAAGGAACCACTCTTAAACATCGAATAGTTTTTTGATCCCTCGGTGTGCTGAAACTGAGCCAATTCGCAGTGCACTGCACAATTTTGCCGATGCAGGACAAGGAGAAGCGTTTGGGCAAAATGACTGTTTATTCGTCCAGAGATTACGAAACGAGGTCACAGGAGTTAATCCGTTCCAAAATGCGTAAATATACGTTAATACAAAGTACAACAATACTTCTAATCGTATATCTCCATTCTTCCAACCATTACACGATTAAGTAATGACAGCCTTCTTGTCTTCCGCCAATATGGAGACCGGTTCTCACAAACTAATGACTTAGTGGTCCCGGACATGTTTCTTTGTGCATATGTATGTGCTTTTACACGCTGACTCTGACCACCGAGACACTGAATGTACAAAACTCTACAGACACTTCTTATTCAGTTTACTCAAGGCCTGTGGAATGCGCATGAGTCCTATTCCTGTATTACCTGATACCGATTTGTCGTCCATATCACATACATGGTCCTACAATATGGTATCTTCTGATGCTAGTTGTTGCTTGATATTGTTAGTTAGGTATCCTTATCACCTCTGTCTTACCTGCGTTCCCCTGAAGTGCAATCTTCTCTACCTCTTGTGCCAACTTCTAACTTTCAATCTGTATACCCCCGATTTT